TCGGGCCAGAAATGAGGGGAAATGCTCGATTGCGGCATGGCGCGCTTCAAGTTTGCATTGGAGCTGCGTGGCGTATGCAGTGGCGGCCGGCCATGCTTCCTCGTTGGGTAACCTGCAGGAGTTTTCAATTGGACCGCTACGCCAATGCATCGAATGTTGAAGCGCGAAGGGGCGCGGACATATCACGGGTATCTGTGTCGTGGTGATTCGGAAAGGTAGCCGCGGGGGCGGAGCTGCTCATGGAGGGGCCCGCGTTGCGGAGACGCGTCGAGCCAACTGGAGGCGGGCGGGCGAATACACTACCAGTGTATCAGGGCCGTCTCTGTTGAGCTGTGCCCGAAGGTCTGATGGGCCAGATGACTGCTGGCGACCGACTGGGGCGCTCCCTCAGAGCCTGCGATCCGGGAGTTAGTCGGGTTGGGCCGGGTGAAAGAATGGGAGATCCACGTGGTTAGGTGCGGGCAAAATAGAGGTGGCAGTTGGCCTGTGCTAGCTTGGGCCAGGGAGAATTATCGCACCTCTCGCCTAATGCTCCAAGGATGCCCACGGCCAATTTGGAGTTGCGCCCGCGCAGTTTCACCCAGGACTCAGACGCGGGCCAAGTGCTGATGGCGGGGGGGCCAGCGAGATTGTGGGGGAGAAGCGGCGGAGGGCGTTCAGAAGGGGGGGCGCGCGATATCGCCGCTGGCTTCACCTGCCGGGCCACCCAGGTCATCCAGTCGCACCTGTGTTTTTGTGGAGCGTGCCGACGCCGGGGCTGGTTGAGACTTCCAGGGGCATGCGAGGCGCGTGGAAGTGTCGCGGAAGGGCAGCCAGTTACCGGGGTGGGCGTGTGAGTAGTTCGCCGCGAAGATGGCGAAGTACAGGCTCAGGCATGGGGCGATGTATCTGGGAGCGAGCTCGATCCCGATCTCGCGTCATAAGAGGGTGGGAAGAAGAGGTGGGGCAATTTGGGAATCGCGAGGTTTATGAGTGGGCTGTTGCTGGCAGAGCCCCCCCAATAGTTGCGAGGTGGATTGAGATCAGCGCGGGCGGCGAAGCCAATCCCGAGTGCCGATCCGGGCTGGTGGCCCAGCAAATCGAGTGCACCTCCTGAAAAAAAAAAAAAAAAAACGAGCAGATTCGCTGTTGTCCCTTCGTTGGATGCCTAGGAACCGCCGTTCTCTCTGGCAGTTGCTGGGGGGGCGATGCATGGCCGAGGGGGGCGTCAGAAAGGGCTCGAGCTCAAGCTTAGATGCGTTGCGCGGGCACATTTTCACGCCGAGGCCAAAACTATCGTCTTCGCCAGGCTGCTTGGAAACAGTTATGGACCAGGCATGTGTGGAAGCTTGTCAAAGTCAGTGGACTGCGCCCGGGGCGCCGCCTGCAACTCGGGTGGTTGTCGCGTGACTTCTGATTTTTGCAAGCGGCATTTGATTTGAAAGCGGGAAAGCGTCGCCATGTGTGTTTAAACGCAAACCAAGGCGAATTTGGCTGACGGTGCAGGGTGGCGATCACTTCATATGGTACTGCTGTTGATCTCGAATGGTTTGATGGGGGAATGGGCAAGGCATTCGAATCTCGAGTCCGGCCCATTGCCGCGCGCCCCAGCTGCTCGGGGGTCGGGTCGGGTTCGGGGCGTCGCGCCCCCGCGCTGCGGATGTGCTCGGGCCGCGCCGTGCTGTGCTTGCTCTAAATTCTTCCGCCCCCCCCGCCCAGCTGCAGGGTCCGCGGCGCAAAGTGCTTGTTCTTCATGTGTCCGCCCTCCCGCCCAACTGCGGCTGGGCCGCGTGCTCGTTCAGTTTCCAACTCCCGAGACACGTCGCCAGCACGGCGTGGAGGGGTTGGTTCCCTTGCCGCGAAGCTCGTGGGATTGTTCGCCGGGGGGGGGGATGGACAGAGACCCGTCCCCCGATGCTTTAGCAACGCATCTTGGCTTATTGTGCCGTGATCCAAAATCGCTCAACTTTTGACGCGCTGGCGCTGCGTGGATCAGAGGTGCCCCGTTAGGCGCGCCGAGCCTGGTGCATGGTGACGGGGGCAGAGTTGCGCCAGCAGGTGTCGGGCAACCTCTGGCGTGTACCCCCCAATTCAATGTTTATATGCTTAAACGTTCGAAAACGGCGGGCCGCGCGGAGTTTTTCCTCCCAAACAAGAGCCGAACCAGGATCGGCAGTCGGTTCGAAACAATGGAAGTCGGTTCGAAACGATAGACACATGAGCGTTTCGTGCGGGATTTTTCGGGAAGCAGGTTCAGAACAGTAGCAATATGAACGTTCGTGCGGGACTTCCTCGAAGAGGGGTGCGCTGCTGTGTTCAAGTCGGTGATGAGTGTATAATGCTGCTCCCGTTGAGGCCATAGTGTGGCGTTCACACAGGATGGTCTTGTGTTCGCCTGCGTCTTGCGACATTCTATGGCGTCGTGGCCTACCGCGCCGCAGTGGCAACATTTGGCTAAACTTTAATCGCGCTCGTGTGCAAACGACCTCTGCAGCATGTGCAAGAAAAAAACAGCCACTGGGCAAGCGTACTGTGCACAATGCACCAACACAAATCATTGGGCAAGCGAACGGACAAAATGTACAAACAATCCACAGGGCAAACGAATTTTGCAACATACTCCAAACAAATCATTGAGAAGTGGTTTCAAGATCACCCAATTTTTGACATGTTGGCGCAGCGTGGATCGGAGGGTTCCCGTTAGGCGCGCGGGGCCTGGCACAATGTGCCGGGAGTGGAGCTGCGCCAGCAAGGGTCGGGCAACCTCGGGCTTGTACTCCCAATGAATTGTTTATATGCCTAAACGGGGCGGCCGTTCGAAAACGGCGGACCGCTTGGAGTTTTCTTCCCAACATATGCCCGAACCAGGATCGAAAGTCGGTTCGAAACAATGGAAGCCGGTTAGAACAATAGAGAAGTGAGCGGTTCGTGCCAGACTTCCTCGGATTGCAGGTTCGAAGCAATAGAAGTGCAGTGTCGGCGATTCGTGCGGGTTTTCTTCGAGCAGCATGATCGAACAATGCTCGAATTCGGTTCGGATCCAAGGAACACTGAACGTTCCGTGCAGGACATCCTTTGGAATCCTCTTGGGGGCCACCTGAGGCCTCTTGGGGGCGTCTTGGGATCCCCCTGGCGGTCTCGGAGGCCATCTTGGGGTCTGGGGGTATGATATGTACCCCTCATTGGGCCGCGTTGGGGCTTGGAAGCGGTCTTGGGTCGAACTTGTGGGCCTGTTGGGTCGTCTTGTTCGCTCGTCAGACCAGAAGGCCAGAAATTTGGGAGTATATGAAACCCTCATTGCCAGTGACTTTGGTATTTTGGTTCTCAAGGCCTCCAAGAGGGCCCACGAGACGCCCAAGAGGGCTCCAGGATGGGCCCTAGGACCATCTTGAACCATGCTGGGCGGGTGGCATTTCAACCACGGCTTGCATACTTGTGCTTGCGTGTGCTTCACTTCTTACGTGCACGTATACGTGTGCGCGTGTGGACTTGCTATGGTGTTTTGTATGAGTGCTCTTGTGTGTGTGTGTGTGTGTGTTTGTATTTGTGCGTGTTTGCATGTCTGTATATGGACGGTCCATGTCGTTTTTGATATCAGACTTATTGGAGAGGCCTGACGGCCGGTGCCGCCGACCCTGATCGAAAGGGCTAGGAGTGGGGGGAGGAAGCGGAGGATGATGATGATGATGATGATGATGATGATGATGATGATGATGATGATGATGATGATGATGATGATGATGATGATGATGATGATGATGATGATGATGAAGAGGATGATGATGATATGATGATGATGATGATGATGATGATGATGATGATGATGATGATGATGATGATGATGATGATGATGATGATGATGATGAATGCTGTGATTGATGATATGATGATGACTGCTGATGAGGTGGGAGAGGAGGAGGAGAGGAGATTAGGAGGAGGAGCGGATGAGAGGAGTAGAGATGAGGAGGAGAAGCTGGAGGGCAGGAGGAAGGAGGAGGAGGAGGAGGAGGAGAGAGGAGACGGATGAGGAGGAGGAGGAGGAGGAGAGGGAATAGGAGGAGGAGGGAGGGGAGGAGAGGAGGTTAGTAGAGGAGGAGGAGGAGGAGGAGGAAGTGCATCCTTTATGTGCCCGCTCGAAGAAAGTGCGCCCCGTGAGTGTGATATTCTGACTTGGGACGTGCTCCTGGAAGAGGAAGAAGTGCATCTCGGGCGTGCCTGCTCGAGGAAAATGCGCCCTAGGGGGGTGGTATTTTGACTCGGGGACGCTCCCGGGACGCCTCTGCGGGATGATGAGGAGGAGGAGGAGGAGGAGGAGGAGGAGGAGGAGGAGGAGGAGGAGGAGGAGAAGGAGGAGAGGAGCAAGAGGAGGAGGAGGAGGAAAAGGAGGAGGAGGAGGAGGAGGACCAGGAGGAGGAGGAAGTGCATCCCGTGCGTGCCCGCTCGAGGAAAGTGCGCCCCGGCGGGCGTCGTATCTGCCCCGGCCCCCCCCCCCCTCCCCCTGCGGGGAAGGGATCAAAGGGAAGGGGCTTCCCTTCGACTCCACTACGACGTCGTTTAATTTCGCTTTGGATAGCGCGCTTGAGGAGGAGAGCCCTGGGAGGGGGAGAACGGAGACGACGGAGACGACGAGTCGAACGGAGAAGCCCCTCACACACGCCGACAGGGTCGGCGGATTTTCGCTCCCACACGATGTGGTCCATTCACCCATTCACCTAGAGCGTACTCAGCCTTCGTACCACGTGATTCGCTGTCTGCATCCCATCGGCGCGCGCGCAGGCAAGCAAGTGTGTGTGTGTGTGTGTGTGTGCGTGTGTGTGTGTGTGTGTGTGTTTGTGCTTGTGTGCATATGTACGTACGTGCGTGCGTGTGTGTGTGTGTGTGTGTGTGTGTGTGTGTGTGTGTGTGTGTGTGTGTGTGTGTGTGCGTATGTATTCATGCATGTCCCTTACGTGCGCTCATCTACGTCCATGGTGCCAGTTGGAAATGCGGCACGCGCCCAACGCACAAAGAACAGAAACACGAGGCCATCCGCTTCTCGCCCTCGGCCGTCGACGGGCAGGACCTGCAGTGCCTGCTGTACCCCAGGGGCCTCGTGGCCTGGAGCCTGGAGCGCCCACTGTACGAGGATTACCGCGTCTACCTGCTGGACGAGGGCTCGGAGGGGCCCGAGGCCAGAGGAGGAAAACATACCAAGGTCAGAGGAGGATAATACAACATACTCGTACCGATTCCCGTCTCTCGCTGCCTCGGCTGGATTCGTTTCGAAATTCCGGTCAGGAGGCGCCCCGGGAAATGTCCTGGGAGATGCCGGTTCCTTCTGCTCCGCACGAGGGGTCGGAGGACGACGAGCTGCCCTGGTGGGACCTTCGGAACCTGAACATGGCCCGGGTCACCTCCGAGGGAACACACCCCAAAGACCAGCGGGCGTGGCCCGCCCACCACTGCGGGTGCAGCCTGTCCCACTTCACCATGTGGATGGAGGCGCTGCAGCGCGGAGTCCAGAACCTGATCATCTTCGAGAGCGACGGTTTCCCGTCCTGCATCGAGAGCTTTCGCATCGGCGGCAACGTGAGCGACTTCGCGGACATCGTGGCCGCCCTTCCCTCGAGGGCGCCCGAGGGCTGGCACCTGATTGCCCTGGACAAGGGCGACTTCGGGGCCGAGCCAGGCTTCAGTTGGGCGTGTCCCTCTACAGGAGGAATATTCCAACACAGTCAAAGAATAGTCTGGGGACGATTTGTCAAAAAATAGTCTGGGCTGTTTTTAGCATGTTTTGGCTATTTTCTACTTTTCTTCCAAAGTCCGCCTGTGGGAGGGCACGCCCAGCCTAATGCCAGGCGCCACTCCGGTGACCACGCTCCGGCCGGCCAGCGGTGGAGGCACCCGGTCGTACAGCATGATCCCCTGGAAGGGGCGAGGCCCCGGGCCGCCCAAAGGAGGTCGAAGTACTGTCGGACCGAGGTTTGCAGGATCGAGGTCGGCTCGGAGAGGGTGCCCCGATGTTGTCCGTGCGTGCTGGACGTTCTTGCGCATGCTGCGGGGTCCTCCTCCTCCTCCTCCTCCTTCTCCTCCACCTCCTCCTCCTCCTCCTCCTCCTCCTCCTCAGGTGTCGCTGGGCAGGAGCCGATCCTTTTTTGCACGACGTGCTACAAGTTCGCTGTGCATCGTAAACAACGGGGCCTTTGCAGTCCCTGCCTTGGCCCTCGGCGGGTCACTGGCGGCTCGGCGTACACCGTCCGGAAGCGGCTGCGTGGGCGCATGCACCCCACGGAGGAGGGACTGGCTCTGGACGAGCCCCAGGTCCCTTCCACAGCCACTCGGGAACGCTGGCGAGATCATTTTGGAGCTGACGCGGAAGGGGCCGGTCGGCCCCCCAGCAGGCTCCCTGCGTTCTCGCAGCAAAGGGCCGCTCCTCGGCTCGGCATGGAAGCCTGTTTGAAGGCGTTCGGGTTCGAGACTCGGGCCGAAGCTGAGGAGCTCGGGTTGTGGGCTGTCCAGGCCCGCGCTGAGGCCCAGGCTCGCAAATCCCGGGAAGAGTGCGAAGCCGAAGCTGGAGAGTTCGGCTAGCGCTGTGTGGGGGTGGGGTCGCCTTGTCGGGGGCCCTGCCAGTGGGATGGAACCTCTGGGGGGGCCTGACAAAAGCCTCCTTGGATAGGCGGACCCACCCCGTTTTTCCTCTCTCACCCCTGGACCTCTTTCCCTCTATGGGCAGTGAACCTCCTCCTCCTCCTCCTCCTCATCCTCCTCCCCCTTCTCCTCCCCCTTCTCCTCCTCCTCCTCCTCCTGCTCCTCCTCCTCCTCCTTGTCCTTCCCCTCCTCCTCGTCTCCTCCTCCTCCCCTTCCCCCCCCCCTCCTCCTCCTCCTCCTCCTCTCTCCTCCTCCTCTTCTCCTCCTCCTCCTCCTCCTCCTCCTCTCCTCCTCCTCCTCGTCTCCTCCTCCTCGCCTCCTCTTCCTCCTCCTTCCCCTCCGCCTCCTCGACCCTCCTCCTCCTCCTCCTCCTCCTCCTGCTCCTTCTCCTTCTCTCCCCCCTCCTCCGTCCCCCTCCTCCTCCTCCTTCTCCTCCTCCTCCTCCTTCTCCTCCTCCTCCTCCTTTCTCCTCTCTCGTCCTCCTCCTCTTCCCCTCCTCCTCCTCCTCCTCCTCCTCCTTGTCCTGCTCCTTCTCCTCCTCCTCCTCTTCCCCTCCTCCTCCCTTCCCCTTCTCCTCCTCCTCCCTCCTTCTCCATCCTCCTCCTCCTCCTTTTCGTCCTTCTCCCCTCCTCCTCCTCCTCGACCCTCCTCCTCCTCCTCCTCCTCCTCCTCGACCCTCGACCCTCCCCTGCCCCACCTAGGGCACCCGCGAATGTTCTTCAGCTTGGCCAGCGGAGGGTCTCATGTTCTTGCAGGATGATTTTCTGTCCTAGGTCCGACTACAGATGGGGTCGGTGGATCGCGCCGCATGTGTCGGCGATGCATCGGCGACACGGCGCGATCCTCCGAGTCCATCTGCCTGAGCCCCACGCGGGCGGCCTCCAGAGGAGTTGCAGGGGCCGCCGCCTACATGGTCAGCAGGCGCTTCCTCGAGTGGTTTCCTCACGACATCCAGAACTACGGCTTCAACATGGTGGATGCCTGGATCGGGTGCCGCTGCAGTGACAAGAGCGCTGTCAATCCCAGCCCGATCAACTGCTACAGCATCGTGGCCGAGGGTCACAAATCCGAGTGAGCGTGGTCAGCAGGCGCTTCCTCGAGTGGTTCCCGCACGACATTCAAACCACGGCTTCAACATGGTGGATGCCTTGGATCGGGTGTCGCTGCAGTGACAGGAGTGCCGCCAATCCCAGCCCGATCAGCTGCTGCAGCATCGTGGCCGAGGGTCACAGATCCGAGTTAGCGTGTGGGCCCTGGCCACTGCCCGCCATCGTACTGTACCTTCTGCACTCCTTTCAGTTTTCGAGTACTTTTTCCCCCTCCCCATGGATCGCCTTGAGCACTGCTGATGGCAGCGCGTTAGGCGGTAGCAGCTGGGGCGCGGGGCAGACTCAAAGTGTTAATGAACGCTGCGCCTGGAGCGCGGAGCAGAACCCGAGGGAGGAGGATGCGGCGACGCGGAGCATACGAACGGCCTTCGGCCCTTCCCGCCACCGTGCCTCCTGGACCGTCTTGGAGGCCGCTCAGGCTCGAGAACGTTATGCGACAAGATGGCAGGAATTCTAGAGGGCACGCGGGAAGTCCCGGGAGATTTCGGCATATGGGGTCTGGGCCTCTGAAGACTCCTCAGACACGAGAACTGAGGCTTAGGCATTCCGAGCACGGGCGGCCGCACGGGGGCGCTCTGAAACCCAGAAGCCACGAGAACACTCCCCCTCCTCCTCCCCCTCCCCCTCCTCCTCCTCCTCCTCCTCCTCCTCCTCCTCCTCCTCCTCCCCACCCTCCTCCTCCTCCTCCTCCTCCTCCTCCTCCTCCTCCTCCTCCTCCTCCTCCTCCCCAGCCTCTTCCGGACACGCCCACTCCGTGCCCAGCGGCACGGTGGCGGACGAGGGCGTGGGCGGAGAGCTCGGGGGGCGGAGGTGGGTGGGCGGGCCCAGCAGAGGCGCCGGCGCGGGGCGGCCTGCCGGCAGGAGAGCGTGCACGCGGGGGGCCCGCTCGCGCCCTGGGAGGAGCCACCGGGCACCTCCAGGAAGGTTCCCACCAGGGGGCGCCGCGCTGCCCAGGCTCGCTGTGTCGCTCCCAGGCATGGTCGCGTCGTGAAAAGATCAGGACGGAAGGTTTTTGGCCAATTTCGGCCTCGGGGGGACCTCGCCAGGCCTCGGGACCGTCAAATAACGACTCAGGATGAAAAACCGGTCCCCGGGAAAGGGTCGGGACTTCCAGGGACCACGTGCCGAAAAAATCAGGGCTCGCATGTCTGGGCCGGGGCCACGTCGCATGTCTGGGCTCGCTGCGGGATGGGCTGGTGGCTGGGTGGTTGCGCAGGTGGGCGGTGGGGTGTGCGGTGGCGCAGGGAGCAGCGGGCATCTCCAGGACATCTCCAACGAGGGAGCGTCGCGCTGCCTGTTCCCCATTCCGGGATACAGTGGGGTAGGTCTGACTTATGTGGGGGTCTGGTTTGAGTTGTCTTGAAGGGTGCCAGTGGGGTCTGGGCCAAAGGCTGCCCTCCCATCGCTGGCCTGGGGGGGCCTCAGACTGCTCGGATCTCTCCGGCTCCTCTCCTCCAGTACAGTCAACGCGCCTAGTAAGGACGCGCGCCTTCACCCAGGGTACCCTTGTGTCCTTGCCTCTGAGGCCCGTCCTTGCCATTATCACTGGTCGCCCGCCGCCCTAAAAAAACCCAACTTCGGCCTCCAAGGGTCTTGCGTCCTTACCACGCGTCCTTACTATACGTTTTCACTGTAGGTGGGCCCCGCAGGACCTCCAAAGGCGCCCAACAGCGTCCCAGATCTCCTCGCTCTCCCCTCGAGCCTCGAGCCCGATCTCCCGGATCTCCTCGATCTCCCCTCGATCTTCCAGACCACCTCGATCTCCCAGGCCCCCTCGATCTCCCCTCGATCTCCCTCCTCCTCGAGCCTCGATTCCCAGGAGGCGGTGGTGACCGCCCGAGACTTCCTCGCCGCCCATGCTAAGGAAGCTACTTCCAGCGCGTGCCGAGGCTTCGCGCCGTCGGAGGGCGGGCCGTCGGCAGACCTTCGCCGTGGCGCAGCGCGCAGCCGCCTCGCAGACTGCCGGCACATCTGGAGGGCAAGCTGTTTCCACCTCCTCCTCCTACTTTTCCTGCTGCTGCTGCTGCTGCTCCTCCTTCTCCTCCTCCTCCACTTCCTCCTCCTCATCCTCTATCTCCTCCTCCTCCTCCTCCTCCTCCTCCTCCTCCTCCTCCTCCTCCCCCTCCTCCCCCTCCTCCTCCTCCTCCCCCTCCTCCTCCTCCTCCTCCTCCTCCTTCTCCTCCTGATGCTGCTGCTGCTGCTGCTGCTGCCCTCACCTCAGCGCCGCGCACGTCCCTGTTCAGCAGATCGAGCAGTCACAACGCCGGGGGACGTGCGCACGGCTTTCAGCATGCTGCCCTTGCCCCAGCGCCGCGTTCGCTCGTCGTGCAGAGGTTCCTGCGGTTCGAAGGGGGGATGGCTACCTGCTTTCGGCATGCGGTTCTCGCCTAAGGTTAAGTCGGGCCTGTCCCTCTACAGGAGGAATGTTCAAACATAGTCAAAGTATAGTCTGGGGACGATGTTTTGAATCTGCTTGTATATTTTTGACCATGTTTTGAAGATGTTTGATTTTTTGTCGAAAATCCACCTGTCGGGGGACATGCCCGACCTAAGCCTAAGGGCCGCGTGCACTCGTCAGAAGTGCTCTCAATTATTGTACGGATGGAGGGCGCCTGGCTTTCAAGCTGTTGCTCTCGTCTTAGCGCCGCGCGCATTCGTCTTGTAGTTGCATTGGTGGATGCCGACCCTTGCTCAACATCTTACGTTCGCTAGTGCGCTGCACAGCCAGCTGCAAGGATGGAGGGCGAATCCTTTTCAAAGCTGGGCTCCCGCTTGAGACTACTGTATACCAAGACATGTATAATCTGGCAAGAGCTATACGGATGGAGGCAGACTCTTTTTCAAGATGGAGCTCTCGCTCGAGGCTTCGCTGGAAATCACGACAAACGTAGCAAGCTCGTGCAATGCTTGCTCAGATGAGGGCCGCTCTTCTTCGATACAGTGATATTGCCCGAATGGCAAGTCATAGGGGCGCTCGTGTTACATGATCTGCTTTCGGAAGCAGTGAGGAGGGGGCTGGACGGGAACAGGGGTCGACCTCAACGGTGTTTTGGCAGTTTGTTGGGCCATTTCCGTTTCGACTTCGTTTCCAACCAAAGGCGGAGTGAGGACAACACGAGGCAACACGAAACCACACCGAACACGAAACACACTGTTTGGGTCAATCTTTGGACGGGAAGTGCATTACAGCATCGTTGACACATCCTGGCCCTCGTCTTCGTCGTCGTCGTCGTCCTCCTCCTCGCCCTCGTTGTCGTCCTCCTCCTCCTCGCCCTCGCCCTCGCCCTCGTGGTTGTCGTCGTCGTCGTCGTCGTCGTCGTCGGGTTGGTCCGCGTCCTCGTCCTCGCCCTTGTCGTCGTCGTCGTCGTTTTCCTTCTCCTCCTCCTCCTCCTCCTCCTCCTCCTCCTCCTCTATCTGGGTCGTTGGAGGTATCTGGCCCCTGTTGGGCCTCAGGCGGCCTCTTCCAGTGCCTCCATCGACCTCCACAGACCTCTGGTCACCTTCCAGGGTGTCCGGGGATTCGATTCTATCCTCCTCCAGCTCCTCCAGCTCCTCATCCTTCCCTCCACCCCCTCCAGGAAGGGTGGGGAGCAAGAGGGTGAATGATGATGGCGCGGAGACGGAGGAGGAGGAGGAGGAGGAGGAGGAGGAGGAGGAGGAGGAGGAGGAGGAGGAAGAGGAGGAGGAGAAGGAGGAGGAGGAGGCGGATGATGATGATGATGATGATGATGATGAGGAGGAGGAGGAGGAGATGGAGGAGGGGGAGGAGGAGGAGGAGGAGGAGGAGGAGGAGGAGGAGGAAACCCATCAAAGGCTATGGGGGAAGGCTAGGGTTGGGCCGACCCGGCCCTAACCGAAGCCTTGAGGTTGCATCCGATCTCCTCTTACGCTCTGATTCAGCCTGCCACGCCTCTCTCCTTCCTTGAGGAGTTAAGCGACAGTGATTGGCAGGGAAAGTCGGGGGCGGGCCGACCTGTTGCTCTTGGGATGTCGGCCGCCAGCCAAACGAGACCACGCACCTGGGGAGAACTTGCTTCGGAAGCGCTCCCCATTGCATTCAGTCCTGAACCCTCTGGTGGTCTTTACTTAGGCAAGACAAGGCATCATGATTACCTGGGCACGATTCAAACATGCGAGACTTGCGGGTGCTAACCGTTCTAGCTCGGGTGTGGCAGGCCAGGCACAGCCACTGATTATTCAACCACGCCCACTGGTGCCTGGTGCCACTCTGCGGGTTACGGCACGCACGAGCACGCCGAGGTTGACCCGTTGGTGGTGGGAGGGGGACGGTCCACTGCTTGACCGCTCCCGCTGCCCCCACAGTGGGGCTGAGGCTCTTGGAGGGTTTCTCGTAGGCCTTCGTACCCGACTTAGGGGCGAGAGGGGACCAGAGGGAAAGCGCCTCCGCTGCATACTTCACAAAACGCTGGATTCGACTGCGAGTGTCTTTACAGCAGTCGATCTCCATCCGAGGCGGGGCGGGGACTCGGGCCGCAGTTTGCTTGGCGACATTGTCCGCCAACTCACACTCGATTTCACACTCGTAGCCTGTCGAGGCCATCTTCTTTGGACCAAATGGGGAGGAGGAGGAGGACGAGGAGGAGGAGGAGGAGGAAGAGGAGGAGGAGAAGGAGGAGAGGGCCTCCTCCGCCGCCGCCTCCTTCCTCCTGCCCCCCGCGCCAGTGAGCGGCATGCACACGCTGCCGACGCTGGGAGCTGGCCAGGGTGTGGGCCCCCTCGTGGCCGAGTGGCCCAGACAGGCCGCACTGCGCTGGGACGAGACTGATGATGCGCATGCGACTGCTCTTGCTGCTGGTGATGCTGCTTGTGGTGAGAAGGAACGGGTGAGCAGGCAAACGATGAGGAACCTGTTATTGCTGTCGTTGATGCTGACGCTGATGCTGACGATGATGATGCTGCTGCTGATGATGATGCTGATGCTGATGCTAATGCTGATGATGCTGCTGCTGATGGTGCTGATGATGAGGATGATGATGATGATGACGATGCTTGTGAGGATGAGGCTGCTGCTGATGATGATGAGGTTGATGATGATTGTGATGATGCAGATGATGCTGATGATGCTGATGCTGCTGCCGGTGCTGATGCTGAGGATGCTGCTGCTGATGATGGTGATGATGCTCTGGTGCTGGTGGTGGTGATGATGATGATGATGATGATGATGATGATGATGCCGCCGATGATTCCGATTATAATGCTGATGCTGATGCTGATGATGCTGCTGCTGATGGTGATGATGCTGCTATTAATGGTGATGGAATGAGGATGGGGATGAGGAGGACGACGGGTGGTAAGATGATGAAGGGAAGGATGTGGTGGCGACGACGTTGACGACGACGACGTTGCCGACGACGGTGACGACGACGCGGATGTCGATGTCGATGGCGATGACGAAATTGCTGCTGATGCTGACGATGATGGTGATGGTTGTGGTGGTGGTGGTGATGACATTGATGATGCTGCTGATTCTGATGCTGATGCTGATGCTGATGCTGATGCTGACGCTGATGATGACGCTGCTGATGATGCTGGTGCTGAGGCTTACGCTGATGCTGCGGCTGATGCTGCTGCTGCTGATGATGGTGATACTGACGACGGTGATGATGATGATGATGCTGATGATGATGATGATGATGCTGATGATGATGATGATGATGATGGTGGTGATGTTTATGTTGATGTTGCTGCTGCTGATGCTGAAGACTCTTATGAGTATGATTATGACGATGCTGGCGATGGTGACGACGACGACGCTGCTGCTGATGATGATACTGATTGTAATGATGATGCTGATGCTGATACTGATGATGATGCTGATGCTGTTTTTGATGATGATGACACTGATACTGATGCTGCGGATGATGCTGCTGCTGATGATTATGCTGCTGATGATGATGTTTGCGATGACGATTATGGTGATGCCGATTCGGCTTGTGCCATTGGTGATGCTGGTGCAGATCAGCATGATGATGCGGCGATGTTGGCGATCATGGCGGCGGTGATGATGGTGATGGTTGTGTCCGCGGCTGCTGTTGCTGCTGATGGGCATGATTAGGTTGATGCATCTAGTTTCAGCGGTGCAGTTCATATTGATGATGGTGATGGGGCTGATGATAATCATGATGCCGAGGCGGGTACGGGGTCAGACGAGGGCACTGAGGAGGAGGAGGAGGAGAAGGAGGAGGAGGAGGAGGAGCAGGAGCAGGAGGAGGAGGAGGAGGAGGAGGAGGAGGAGGAGGAAGCAGAGGATTCGGCGGCGGCGGGCGGCGGAGGAGGAGGAGGAGGAGGAGGAGGAGGAGGAGGAGGAGGAGGAAGAAGAGTAGAGGGAGGAGCAGCATATTGAAGAGAAGAGGGACGGACTGAAGAGGAGGATGAGGAGGACCAGGAGGAGGAAGAGGATGAGGACCAGGAGGAGGAGGAGGAGGCTGAGGATGATGATGACGATGACGATGACGATGACGATGATGATGATGATGATGATGATGATGATGATGATGATGATGATGATGATGATGATGATGATTATGATGATGATGCTGATGATGATGATGATGATGATGATGATGATGATGATGATGATGATGATGATGATGATGATGATGATGATGATGATGATGAGATGATTATGATGATGATGATGATGATGATGATGATGATGATGAGGAGGAGAGGATGAGGAGAGGAGGAGGAGAGGGGAGGAGGATGAGGGAGGAGGGAGGAGGGGAGAGGAGGAGGAGGGATGAGGAGAGGAGGAGGAGGAGGAGGGAGGGAGGAGGAGGGAGGAGGAGAGGGGGAGGAGGAGGAGGAGGAGGAGGAGGAGGAGGATCAGGGGGAGGAGGAGGAGTTGGAAGATGATGAGGAGCTGGATGAGGAGGGCGAGGTGGAGGAGGACGAGGGGATGGTCTTGCTTTATTTTCGCTGCTGGCTAGGCTTCCGAAGCTGTCGGCAGCATGGGGAAGCACAGTATTTCAAA